CCATAAGATCTTGTATGTATTTCCCTGTGTCTATACAGTATAATCTTGTTTAACTATTCTACATTTTGAAATCCCAGTCTGTCCCTTCCACCCCCCGCCACCTTGGCAACCACAAGTTTGTATTCTATGTCTATGAGTCTGTTTCTGTTTTGTATTTATGTTTTGTGTTTTTTTTAGATTCCACATATGAGCGATCTCATATGGTATTTTTCTTTCTGTTTCTGGCTTACTTCACTTAGAAATACATTCTCCAGCAACATCCATGTTGCTGCAAATGGCGTTATGTTGTCACTTTTTATGGCTGAATAGTATTCCATTGTATAAATATACCATGTCTTCTATATCTAGCCATCTGTTGATGGACATTTAGGCTGTTTCTATGTCTTGGCTATTGTAAATAGTGCTGCTATGAACATTGGGGTGCAGGTGTCATTTTGAAGTAGGGTTCCTTCTGGATACATGCCCAGGAGTGGGATTCCTGGGTCATATGGTAAGTCTATTCCTAGTCTTTTGAGGAGTCTCCATACTGTTTTCCACAGTGGCTGCACCAAACTGCATTCCCACCAGCAGTGTAGGAGGGTTCCCTTTTCTCCACAGCCTTAAGAGAGACTAGTCTTGATTCTGAAAAAGGGCCAATTTTCTAAGACCACAAACGTCTGAAGTCCTGATCACTAAGACTATGCAAGCAGAGATTGTCAGGGGAGGCCACACCTTTCTCTGTTGATGCCTTGGGTCAGGTAAGTCCCCTTCCAGCCTAGAAACATCCTGCAGCGTGAGGAGGTGAGGGGCATGTTGTTTCCCCACCTGCGGAACGTTAACCTGCCTGCGTCTTGGGCTGAGTTTCTGCCGCCCACGCTAGAAAGCAGGTTATGAAACTGACTTTCTTTTCTGCACCCCTGCTCTACTCGAGCAGCTTCAGTTCCCAGGATTTTGATAGGTGCTCATGGAAGCCAATGGAACTCATCACCCATGAGCACCCCAACCCTGCCATACCATCTTCTGGCCCTGCTAACCCAAGATAGGCTCCAAAGGAAGACGACAGATATCCTGTACATCCCCACCCACAAGGCTGAAGTGGGAACCTGAGAAGTGCTGGAATAAGGTGGGAGGGGCTAGGGGAGCACCTCAGAGCTGGCTCACTTCAGGAGCTAACTCGTGGCAGTATGGGAGGGAATGGGAACCCCCTCCACCATGAGATCCCACCTTCCCAATAGTGGCCTCTATCCAAGCACCTGCCTTGGGCACTTCCAGGCTAGAAGTGGTAGTAAAAGCTCATACCCACAAAACTGTCAGGTCACACAGTCAAAATCCATTTGGGGACATAAATGTATACAATCCAAGGCCAGAGCTTGAGGTCAGATGGGCAGTGGACTCCAGCTGGCCCTTGAGGGACTCCAGTGTTGCGCCAGGTCTAGGTACAGGGTGGGGCTGAGGGGAAGAGTCACAAGATAATCAGACATTGTTTCTACCTCAAGGATGTCCAGTCTGTAGAGGAGAGAAAGAAAACAAAGTAACAGCACAAGGCAGTGACAGAGGAAGAAGGTGGGGGTTCTGAGAAGAGGCACCTAATTCACTCACAGGTGCTGACAGAGCTGGTTCCTCAAAGACCAGGAGGAGTTAGTCAGCTAAACAAGTCTGGACAAGGAATTCCAGGCAGAGCACAGAGAGATGATGCTGCGTCTGGTGAGAGGCAGGTGGGACTGGAGTACCAGGTGGGACCTAGGTCACAAGGAGCCTCCCTGAAGGAAGTGAGGGGCCAATGGAAGCCAGGGAGTGCCCCGGTCTCTTTGGTGTTTGAGAAGGATCCCTCGGACACCAGCAGGGGATTTTAAGGGGCCTGACTACATTCAGGACACTATGGAGAGTGGGATAATGGCAGTGGGGACAGATTTGTGAGCTACCCAGACTAGGTAGGATTCCACTGCCATTACAGCCAGGACAAGGAGGGCTTCTCCTTGGGCACTAACCCTAGCTTGGTCAGGACTTAGCCTGCATTCCTGACATCACAGGTGTCATGCTATGCAAGGACCAAACAACAGATGGATCTGGAGTAGGGTATAGGGGGTGGGGTCCACAGCTTCAAATTGGTGAAGGTTTTAGAAGCTTTTGTCCACTGGCCATGAATCTGCCAGGGAATGTTCACTGCACAGTTGGGGGAAGACCTGGGTCAGACACACTCCCACCTGCCACACGCACCTCCTGCACATGCTCCCTTCATCTCCTGGCCGCCACTCTATTACTTGTTTTGGATCATTGCTATGCACACGTTGGCTACTAGGGGCTCTCTAGTCCCCTCAAATTCACTGAGATGTTGAAATACCTACAGGTCTTCCAGTGACAGGGGTAACTGAAGGGAGGGGAGAGGAAGGAGAGGAGGGAGAGTGGGAGGGAGGAAGCAAGGAAGCAAGGAAGCAAGGAAGGAAATAGAGCCATAGGAAGGTCTCCTTGGTGACACCAGGTTTCTTCCTGTCAGAGCACAGATCTTGGTTTATAATTGTGCCCTCATTAGTGTGAACCTCTGGTTGTCAGTCACCCCAATAAACCAAAAGCCATGATCGAATGGATCTTGCTTGCCTTGCTCTCTACCCAGCTCTTGGAACACAGGAAGCCCACAGAGAGCTATTGACTGAGTGAATCAAGACTAGCTGAGCCAGATTTCATATCAAAGTCCTTAACTGTCCAGCCTCATGGATAGTGGCCAAAGTCTCTGCATCCCCACCACTGCTTATCCCCCCATCTGGGCCCTTGGGTTCTACCTACTCTTTGAAGAATCTAAAGGTCACCATAGTGATTAGGTCTGTATATCCAACTTGAGGATCTGGTGTTGTTTCTGACACCTGCTGACTATCATACTTGTTGGGAGTTGAACTGCGTCACTCCGAAAGGTATGTTGAAGTCTTAACCCCTGGTAGCTGTGAATGTGACCTTATTTGGAAAAAGGGTCTTTGCAGATGTAATTAATATGGAAGATCAGGTCATATTGAAGTGCGATAGGTCCTTAACCTAATATGTCCTTATAGGAAGAGCAGAAGAGACAGACAGACACACGGAGGGAAGAACAGCATGTGAAGATGGAGGTAGAGATTGGAGTTATGCAGGTGCAAGCCAAGAAATGCCAACGACCGCCAGCAAATAACAGAAGCTAAGAAAAAGGCACAGCACAAGCCTTCCCCAGAGCCTTCGGAGAAAGCATGGTCCTGCTGGCAGCTTGATTTTGGGTTTCTAGCTTCCAGAACCATGAGGGAATACATTTCTGTCGTGTGAGGGCGCCCCGCCTTGTAGTATTCTGTAGAAGCGGCCTTAAGAATACAGCAGGTATTCTCACCACCGTCAGCGGGAATAGGGAAAAAGAATATGGGGTGCTTGCCAAGATCCTTGTTATCAGAATTTCCAGTCCTGCATGGAGAGACTCTCTGCAGGCTTGCGCTAGCAAATGTAAAGCCTGGTGTCATGCTGAACAGACCATAGGCTTTGCAGGAAGTGAGACTGACTGTTATCTGGAGCAAGTTAATTCTCTGAGCCTCAACTTCCTCACCTGCAAAAATGGGCCAGATTGTTGTGAGGATAAGGGCTATAATAATACCATGCTTCCTGACCTTTTATGATCAGAATCACCTAGGGCAGTTGTTAAAAATGTAGACTGCATGTTATATGTTAATTATATCTCAATTAAAAAAAATACAGATTGCCAGGGTTGACCGTCAAAGCAACAGGATCAGAACCTCCCAAGAAGGACCTGGAAATGGGCATTCTGCTAGGGTCCTTACGTGGTTCTGATGATTAAGCAAAGCTGACTATTCCCCAAGATAATATATGGAAGGAGCCACACTCTCACTGGTAAGAGAGATACAAAGTTAAATCCCCTTTCCTTTGCCTTCCCATTCAGCCATGGAGAGAATCTCAACTGTTCAAGAACTGTTGAGAGCTGCCCTCTACAGGTGATGATGGGAAAGAGAGGCTCTTGGCTCAGGGAGCTGGGGGCACAGGAAGAAACCTTTAGGACAGCAGCTAATGGACTCCAAGCACAAAGCACCCCAGCCCTGGGCCCTGTTTCCTGACAGGAAACTGAGGGTGTGGGACCCAGCTCAGACAGCTGCAACACTGAGCTTTCTTTGTTTAAAAAAATTATAAGGCTGTGGAAAACTTGGAACCTCCATACATTGCTAGTGGGAATATAAAACGGTGCAGGCTTTGGAAGAGTCTGGCAGTTCGTCAAAAAGTTAAACATAGACTTACCTAGTCGCCTATATAACACTCCTAGACATATACCCAAAATAATGGGGCACACACGTGCACACAAAGACATGTCTATGAATGTTCACAACAGTCTTATTCGTAATAGTCAAGAAGTGGAAACAACTCAAATGTCCATAAACTGATGAATGGATAAACAAAATGTGGACTATCCATATGATGGAGTATAATTCTGCCTTAGAAAGGAAGTAAGTACTGATTCACATTACAAATTTCTGAACCTTGAAAACATTATGTAAGTGAAAGAAACCAGGCACAAAAGAACACTCATATTTATATGAAATGTCCAGCATAGGCAAATTCACAGAGACAAAAAGTAGATCAGGGGTTGCCTAGGGCTGGTGGGGTTGGCGGAATAGGGAGCAACTGCTGTTGCGTATGGAGTTTCTTTCTGAGGTGATGGAAATGTTCCGGAATCAGGTAGCGATAATGCTTATACAACATAATGAACAGACAAAAAAACCCACTGAGTTATACACTTTAAAAGGGTGAATTTTATGATATGTGAGCTATATCTAAATCAAAACTTATATCCTTTAATGATGTTCTGATCATAAAAGTAATAATTTAGGAAATTACATAATAAGTATTAAATTAATCAGCTAATTATGAAAAAATACCATTAGAGCTCTCCTCCTCATGTCGGATGCTGGCCCCACACGATCACCTTTGAAGGCTGCCTCCTCCTGCCACCCTTTCTACCTGATTCCCCGGTTATCTCTGTGGTGTGTTTATCCACCCCATCTCTAGGTCTTGTCCCTAACTTCACAAGCTACCATGCCCCGGGAAAAGAACTTTCTATAATTATACAACAGAAAAATACTTTTTCTAGAGAGTAACACTCACCGTGCACTGAGCTCTTCCTGTGTGCCAGCCAGGACGTAGTATTTTACATGCATTATCTTATATAATCTTCCCAATAACCTGTTAGGTTCCATTATTATTTTCATTTTATAGGTGAATAAATTGTGATGCAGGAAATTGGAGTCACTTGCCTAAGGCCCTATGGCAGAGCTATAACTCAACAGCAGGAAGAATGTCTTTTTCTCAGGTGCCCTCTCTTGTTCATCTCCATTTTTCTAGTAGTGAGAATCCCATCATTGGAAGTGCCCAAGTGGGGACCTGAGGAAATGGAAAGAGTGTAGGATCAGTCAGGCTAATGGCCTCAAGGCTACTTTCAGCCTTGAAATGGCAGGATTCATTTTTTTCCCAAGGCATGCTTAACTCTCACCAGAGAAGACAAGAGCTTTTCTTGCATGTGAACTTCCCTCTGCTATAAACTCACATGATGGAACAGTGTCTTTGTCCTCACAGACTCCTCAATAATCCCTCCCCTCTGCACACATCAGAGGAAATGCCTTGTAATGACTCTTCCAGGATGAAGGCTCTGGGCTGCAGCAGGAAGCTGGTAGGCTGAACAGTGACATCCCTGAGGCATCAGAAGTCCAGCTGCTGCTTCTCCAGAGGGACAGCAAAGTATTTTGGGGCAGAAGATGATAGCAAGAGACAAAAGACCCTGATGGCCTTAGGAAAGAGCCAGGATAGCCGGTCTAAAACGATCCAGGAAGGAGCACCTAGTGATGGGGTAGGCTGAATTCAAAGATGGCTCCCAAGATTTATGCTTCCTGGTGTACATGTCTTGTATAATCAGGGCTGAATCTGTGAATCTGATGGGCTGTCATTCCCAAGATTAAGCTACTTACACATTTACTTTGACTTAATCAAAAGAGAGATTACACTTTTATGCCTGACCCAATCAATTGAGACTTTAAAAGAGAGTGAAGTGTCAGAGATACTCTCCTGCTGGTTTGAAGAAATGAGGGGTGGTATTGTGAGAGGGCCTATGGAGGGCCCACGTGGCAAGGCCCTGAGGGTGGCCTCTAGGAGGTGAGAGAGGCTGACAGCAAGAAAAAAATGGGGACTCAGCAAGGAACTGAATTCTGCCAACAATCTGAGGACTCTGAGCTGCAGAGGAGACCACAGACCTGGCTGACATTTTTTTTTAGGAGTGGGGGTAATTAGGTTTTCTATTTATTTATTTATTTATTTTAATGGAGGTACTGGGAATGAAGCCAGGACCTCATGCGTGCTAAGCATGCACTCTACCACTTGAGCTATCCCCCTACCCCCGGCTGACATCTTGATTTCAATCCTGTAAGATCCTGAGTAGAGAACCAGTTATGCTATGAAGGCATAACTAACTTACAGAAACTGAGAAATAATAAATGGGTATTGTTTTAAATTGCTTAGTTTGTGATAAATTGCTATGCAGCAATAGAAAATTAATACAGGTGATGAGGGCTACCTCAAAGTAGCAGGGGGTTCAGAATTCACTGAGAAGCCAGCAAAGACTACCTTCAGGAATGGTGGTGAAGAGAACAATTTCTGGAGTCAGACAAACCTGTGCTCAAATCTAAGCACCACTATTTATTAGCTGTGTGATTCTTGGGCAAATGTCCTTTGAGTCTATTTCTTCATCCATAAAATAGGGATAAATACTTATCTCACAACGTTGTTTTGAGGTTTAAGTGGAATAATGGACAGTTTGTAGCATGCAGTGGCACATAATAAATTATAGTCATAACTGTTTTTGAAAACAACAATACACAACACTCCAGCAGCCAATCTAAGGTACTGTAGGCAAAGTGCAGAGACTGACAGCAGCTCGAGGAGATTTGATGAATACTAATTCAACTCAAAGAGGTGAAAGCTTCCAGGTACCCTTTGGTTAGGTTAGTGGGAGAAGATGAGGATAGGTGTCTTGAAAAAAGCTTTTATCCTTTCCCAGCCAGGTTCATACCCTCTAAAGCCACACTGCTAGGGAGGAAAAAGACAAGGGCTGATACTGACACCCTGGACACAAGGCCTGGAGTGAGGAAGAGGAGCCTGAATGTCCACCTTGTCTTTCCTTAGGGCGACCAGGGATAGAAAATGACAAGAGACTTGTTAACTCTGAGTAGCAATGAGATAATTCAGGCTCGGGAATAGTGGCCCCACTGCCTGGGAGCTCAGTCTGGACGTAGTGAGGCGAGAGTGGATGTTCAGTTTGAAACTTAAACAAAGCAAAACAAAAAGGAAGAAAGAAATAAAGAAACTTAAACAAACCCCTCCTGCGGGAATTGGGGGCGGGCGTTTCGCCACTACCCAAGTGAATCCTGAGATTGAGGATTTGGTGAGAAGAGTCTCAGAATCTAATTTCTGAGTCTGTTTCCTTCTCTGTAAAATCAAATACTTGGACTCATATTTTAATGCTTGCGAATTTGTGATATAAGAATAGTGACTAATAAGGTCCTTTGTCTGTTCGGAGGGTAATTAGGCTTATTTTTTTAATGGCGGTACTGGGGATTGAACCCATGGCCTCGCGCATGCTAAGCACTCTACCACTAAATTATCCCCTCGCCCCCATAAAGTCCTTTCTATGTAAGCAGTTGTTTTGTCCCACTCGTTCTCTTATTTTAGGTTCAAACTGGGGGGTAAGCAAAGAAGGTATTTTTACTATAATTTGCTGTTGTCATTGTTATCGTCCCCATGCTGAGGTGCTGGAGTCGCCTCCCAAGCCGGATACTGGCCACAAACGGCCGCTCACCTTCCTTCCATCCTCGCTCCACGATGGCTGCTGCGCTCCGCCGGAACAGACCCGGCACAGCGCGGCGCCGAAATTGTTTGTCCTGGGCGCGCCGCCGTAGCCCGCCCGCAGCCGCGCGGCGCCCCCTTCCGCAGTGGGCGGGCCCTCACGCTCC